TAGTTGTTTGTTGATTTGGATATTTTCTTTCTTATGGTTATTCTTGTTCCTGGTCCCTTATTTAAGTTTTCTAGGTTCCTGCTATGAGTGAGACCATCCAGTATTTTTCTTTTTCTTTCTGGCTTATTTCGCTGAGCATGATCCCTTCCAGCTCCATCCATGTTGCTGCAAATTGCATGTGTTTATCTTTTTTGAATGCTGAGTAATATTCCATGGTGTATATGTACCACATCTTCTTGATCCAGTCATCTATTTTTGGGCATTTGGGTTGTTTCCAAAGCTTAGCTATTGTAAACAGTGCTGCTATAAACATAGGGGTGCAGGTTTTCTTTGGAATTGATGTTTCTGTGTCCTTTGGGTAAATACCTAGGAGTGGAATTGCTGGATCATATGGAAGCTCTATGTTTCGTAGGTCCAGAAATCTCCACACAGCTCTCCATAGTGGTTGGACCAGTTTGCACTCCCACCAACAGTGCAGAAGAGTTCCTTTTTCTCCACACCCTCGCCAACATTTGTTGTTGCTAGTTTTTTTAATATGTGCCATTCTCGCTGGTGTTAGATGGTATCTCATGGTAGTTTTGATTTGCATTTCCCTGATTACAAGTGATGTTGAACAGTTTTTCAGATGCCTGTTGGCCATTTGCATTTCCTCTTCAGAGAAGTTTCTTTTTAGCTCTTCTGATCATTTTTTGACTGGATTATTTTCTTTGTTTTTGTTGAGTCTCATCAGCTCTTTGTAGATTTCTGTGATCAGTCCTTTATCATTAGTGTTGTGTGCAAAAATGTTCTTCCAGTCGGTGGGGTTTCTCTTTGTTTTTGTTACTGTCTCTCTCTCTTTTTTTTTTTTTTTGCTGTGCAGAAGCTCTTTAATTTGATGTAGTCCCAGCTGTTTATCTTTGCCTTCACTATCACTGCTTTGGGTGATGTGTCTGTAAAGACGTTTTTGATGTGCATATCATGTAGTGTTTCGCCTATATTTCCTTCTGTGTATTTTATGGTTTCAGGTCTTATGTCTAGTTCTTTAATCCATTTTGAGTTGGTTTTTGTGCATGGTGTGAGGTAGTAGTCAAGCTTCATTCTTTTGCATGTAGCGACCCAGTTTTCCCAGCACCATTTATTGAACAAACTTTCTTTGCTCCAATGCATAGTCTTTGCTCCTTTGTCAAAGATTAGTTGACCATAAATCTGTGGGTTTATTTCTGGATTTTCTATTTGATTCCATTGGTCTGTGTGTCTGTTCTTGTTCCAATACCATGCAGTTTTGATGATTATGGCTTTGTAGTATAGCTTGAAGTCTGGGCGTGTGATGCCTCCATTCCCTTCTTTTTTTTTTTCAGGAGAGCTTTGGCTATTCGGGGTTTTTGGTGATTCCATATGAATTTCATCAATAATTGTTCTATTTCTTTGAAGAATGACATTGAAATTTTTATTGGAATAGCATTGAATCTGTATATTGCTTTTGGTAGGATGGCCATTTTAATAATGTTTATTCTTCCAATCCATGAGCAGGGGATGTTCTTTCCATTTCTTTGTATCTTCTTCTATTTCTTTTAACAGTGTTTTATAGTTTTCTTTGTATAGGTCCTTTACCTCTTGTGTTAGGTTTATTCTCAAGTATTTGATTTTTTTTTGTTTCAATAATAAAAGGGATGGGTTTTTTGACTTCTTCTTCAGATTTATTGTTTGTGTATAGGAAGGCTACTGACTTTTGCCTGTTGATTTTGTATCCTGCCACTTTACTGAACTGATTGATGAGTTGAATTAGTTTTTCTGTGGAGTTTTTGGGGTTCTCTATGTATATTATCATATCATCTGCAAATAGTGATAGTTTGACTTCTTCTTTTCCTATTTGAATTCCTTGTATGTCTTTCTCTTGTCTTATTGCTCTGGCTAGGACTTCCAGTATTATATTGAAAAGCAGTGGTGAGAGTGGACATCCTTGTCTTGTTCCAGATCTTAATGGAAATGCTTTCAGTTTTTCACCATTGAGAATGATACTGGCTGTTGGCTTGTCATGTATGGCCTTTATGATGTTGAGGTATGTTCCTTGTATCCCAAGAATTTCAAGGGCTTTTATCATGAATGGGTGTTGCACTTTTGTCGAAAGCTTTCTCGGCATTTATTGATATTATCATATGGTTTTTATATTTCTTTTTGTTGATGTGTTGGATAACATTGATTGATTTTTTGATGTTGAACCTTCCTTGTGTCCCTGGAATGAATTCTACTTGATCATGGTGAATTTTCTTATGGATACATTGTTTGATTCTGATAGCTAAAATTTCATTGAGGATTTTTGCATCAGTGTTCATTAGTGAGATTGGCCTGTAGTTTTCTTTTTTTGTGTTGTCCTTTTTCAGTTTTGGTATTAGTGTAATGTTGGCTTCATAGAACGTGTTTGGTATTATCCCTTCCTTCTCAATTTTTTGGAAGAGTTTGTGAAGGATGGGCACTATTTCGTTTCTGGACATTTGGTAGAATTCATTTGTAAATCCATCAAGTCCTTCCTGGGCTTTTGTTTTTGGAAGGTTTTTGATTACCATTGACTTTCGCTGCTTGTGATTGGTCTGTTTAGTTTTCTATTTCTTCTTTATCTAGCTTTGGGTGATTGTAAAGTTGTAGGAATTTGTCCATCTCCTCTAGATTGTTGAACTTGTTTCCATATAACTGTTCATAGTAGTTACTGATTATTCTTTTGATTTCTGCTGTGTCCGTTGTGATTTCTCCTCTTTCATTTGTGATACCGTTTATTTGTGCTTTCTCCCTTTTTTCCTTTGTGAGCCTGGCTAGGGGTTTGTCTATTTTATTTATAAAATGTAGTAACTTTGGGCCTCCCTGGTGGCACAGCAGGTTGAGCACAGCGTTGTGAAGCTGTCCACAGCCTCTGCAGCACTAGTTCAATTCCCAGCTGGCCAGGGAGATACCTACATGGCACGGTAGACCTCTCCTGTCTTGCCGCTGCTCCTCTCAGCAGTGCTTTGGGTCATTCTGCCTGTTCTGCTCCCTGCTCTGTCTCTGGTGAATCCTCTCACCCTCCTGTGCCTCTGGCCTGTACCCCAGCTCTTGTATAAATAAATCTTTTTAAAAAATGAAATAAAATAAAATGTAGTGCCTTTTACCCACATAATTTACTTATGTGTCATTTCCTCAAATGCTTATGAAAGGTCTGGACTTTTTAAAAATTATCACATAATTTCCTGGGCTTATACCCTTGTCCATTAAGAGAAGCAATAAAATGCTTTGTTTTTAGCTAAGGCAAGAGATGTGAATAGCTCAAAGAATTGAATTCACAATGTGAATATTCATATACATAGCTATGCTTCAAACATGTTGGTGAGAAATTATTTCTCCAAGTAATCTACCAGATCTCTTGGAAATGTATTACTAATTCCTTTGGTGATCTCTGATTTTAAGGAACTGGGTGAGGTTAATTTACAGAATCAAATGATACATCTGCTTATATAAAAGCTGGTAAGAGGTAAATACACTGAGTTATTTAGAGGTAAATACACTGATTTATTTAGAGGTAAATACTTAGTTTACCTCCTAGCTCTCATAACTTTTATGAAACATTTTTTAAAAGTTCTACATCTTTAGGGTCTCCCTGGTGGCACAGGGTTTAAAGTCTCAGTGCTACAAGCTATCACCAGCCACTGCTACATGAGCTTGATCCCCAGCCAGGGAGCTAACCCACATGGTGCAGCAGACCTCTCCTGTCTCATCCACTTCTCCCCTCAGCAGTGTATTTCAGTACATCTGCCTGTTCTGCTCCCCACTCTGTCTGGTGAATCCTCTCACCCCCACCTCCCATCTTTGACCTATAGACCTCAGTTCTTGTATGCATAAATAAACCTTTAAAAATTCTACATCAAATTACTGTGTCTTCAATTTAATTGCTCTCCTGAAGACATGATTAACTCATTTGTTTTCTTTTCTGGCTTACCTATATAGTGGAAAGATGGTAATGATAGAGGAAATCAACATAGGTAGGCTGGGGTTGGGTGGTAAAGTAAGCTCTTTCTTCCTCCTTAGCCTTCTAGTCCCCCTCTGGTACTTTATTGTCAGTTTTAACTGAGAGCAATGGTAAAGAAATGTTATTTGCAGAATCCCAGTGTCAGTGTCACATACAGAATATAGAAGGGTGTTTTAGATCTAAGAGAGAACTTTAATAACTGGTACACATTCATACTTTCTTTAAGTTTATTTTTATTAATTTTACATGAAATTTTGTTTTTATGCATATAATTACTCTCAAATCACTTTTCACTCATTTGCTTTTTTCTTTTCTAGACCATATGAAATATGAAATGATGTAGGTAATTTCAAATAACAAATCCAATCAAGCGTTTGAGTACTACTTACATTGATAGATTTGATATTGAGCATCTACTATGTATAATGAGTTAAATACAAAGATAAAGATAGGAATCCCAGTCTTGTGAATTTTCGGGGAAAAATGACTGGTTTTTTGAACACTACTATGTTCTAGTAATAAGGTAAGATTGAAAACATTACCACTAGCATAAATTTCTGTGGTATTTACTGGTTATGAACAGTAAATGATTCCTTAACTGCTATAGAGGAATGCCTGAAGGAAAGAGTTATTATCTTTTTCTTCTGTCATGAAAACAGGTTGTTTTAATTTCATGCAATGACATTAAACTGTTAACAGTATTATTTGTAACCTATTAAATAATGTTAAAATCACATTATCCACAAAGTACAACCTACTAACCTCTAAGATTTTAAAATGACAAATGTTTAATTGCCCAATGTATATAATGTTTAAAATATATTCTGAAGTAGACTAATTCATATCACAAGATTGATTTTCATATTCTATTAAATATAAGACAATTGTGCTTCCCCTTTTAACATTTTCCATTTTTATTACCATTTACTGGTTGAAAAAAAAGAAATTCACAACTCATTAGGCAAGTGAAAAACATGCAAATTTAAACAGAGACAAAATAGTGGTTACAAATTAAAAGTCTGAGTCATTTTCATTTGAATATATAGTTTATTTAGAATGCAGCACTAACAGCATGATGATAAACTGTCACAAATTTGTACCAAGAAGCACACAATCTTTAAAATCTGTTGTTTTTCACATGTAATTTAAGTATACCTTATTATTATTTGGTACTATAGTCAAAGACGACATTTAGATTCTTCAGCTTTGGGGCATTTAGTAACATGATTGAAATGAAAATGATTGTCTAGTCAGGCAGAGGAAAGAAATTCAAATGCAGTTTCTTTTTCTTCTGCTAGTTCCTTTGCAGTAAGATCCATCTTCTCACGTGAGAAATCATTAATAGGGAGACCTTCAACAACTTTCCAGGTCTTATTCTATTTGAAAATAATTGCAAATAAGAGATTTATCATTAAATTAGAACTGATGTTCTCCACAAAGTAATGACATAGTTTGAACCTTAAATCTAGAAGAGGACCTGTTCTAAAGTATGATTCTAAAGATGCAAATCAAAGCCTAGATCTTAATTCATAGAAATTCTGATAAATATGCATTGCTTAAATGTAAAACTCACTGAAGATAGAAAATATCTTTAAATAAAGCTTTAATTAGCCAACATAAAAAACTATGGGCTTTAGTAAGTTTACAATAAATAGTACTATTGAGACCCATTGCTTAATTTAGAAGATACTAATGGTAGGTTAATCCTGATAGAGCATCATCATAATCAAGTGGGAAGAGTTGAATCCTGCACTGAAGACTAATTTCAATCTTTTAATGATGAGAGGCTGTGCTTCCCACAATTTAAAGCAGAGAAAAATGTCTAAATTAGTAGACATTTGTCTACTACTTGTCTAAAACAGACAAGTCTCTAGACTAAATTACATAATTCTTAAGAAAAACATCCAAATACTTTCCCAGTAGAGTACAGACTTAAGCTAAATAAACCCAAGTACCCTACCTTGATTGTCACAGGGAATGAATAAAGCAGATCTTCAGGAACACCGTAGGAATTACCATCAGAGATAACACCCATGGACACAAATTCTCCCTAAAATAACAACATTTTACATTTACATAGTACTTTTGTCATTATTATTATTATTTTTTAATTTTTTTTTAAAAAAAGATTTATTTATTTATTTATACAAGCACTGGGTACAGTTAGAAGTGCGGGAGGGAGAATTCACCAGAGCCAGAGCAGGGAACAGAACAGGCAGAAGGACTGAAGTACACTGCTGAGGGGAGCAGCGGGCAGCAGGAGAGGTCTGCGCACCATGTGGGACCCTCGCTGGTGGCCGGGGATTGAACCTGCACTGCAGAGGCTGCGGGCAGCTTCGCAGCCCAGCTCTCAACCGCTGCACCACCAGGGGAGGTCCATACTTTGGTCATTATTATACAACTGACACATAACTTGCAAAACTAAAGATACAGGGCCACCCCAGTGGCACAAGGGGTTAAGTCTCAGCACTATGAAGCTATCCCAGCCACTGCAGCACATTTCCATCCCCGGCCAGGGAGCTGACCCACATGGCACAGCAGACGTCTCCGGATCTGCTTGCTCTGCTCCCCTCTCTGTCTCTGGTGAATCCTCTCAATCCCCACAACTCTGGTCTGTATCCCATCTCTTGTATGCATAAATAAATTTAAAAAATTGAAAAAAAAACCAATACAAACTAAAGATGTATGATGTACACAACTTCTTCTTATATAAGGACTCATGATTAGGCACGTCCACAACAGGGTAATTTTCATGGGCATTATCTCACTCCACTTTTTCAATCCATGTGTGAAGCAGGCCAGAGAAACTAATCCTCATTTGTAAATGAGGAAGAATGGCTTAATATGGTTTTAAGTGGAAAAAAAAAGTCACTCTTACATTGTATGCTAGCTGTTTTCCATGTATCATCTCATTTAAGCCCTACAACCCTGTGAGAAAAATGCCACATAACAGATGACAAAACAGTTCAGAGATTAAATAACTTTCCCATGGCTACTCAGACAATAGGCAACTGAGTTAGGATGTGAACCAAATCGGCCTGGTGGCTAAGACATCTTTACATTATAACATCAGTGAGAAAAAAATCAAAGAGTGGCCTATGCAAACTCCCAAGTCCTCACCTCTGGGGTTCCAAACCAGATGTCTCTGACATGGTCACAGATGGCTTTTGCAGCAGACATCGCACTGGAGAGTTTCCGAGCCTTGATGACAGCAGCACCACGCTGCTGCACAGTCTGGAGGGAGGCAGAGACAGTAGAGTTATTTGGTCACGACAGTAGAATTTTTATAAATTCCAAGCTGATCATGGGGTGAAAGCCTGCAACCAAAGCTTAATGTATCCTATTCAAAGTCACACAACTACCCACTGTTGGTGTCACTAACCTATTTCAATTACAAGCATCCATCTTCTTGAAAAGAGAAAACTACAAATCCCCACAAAAAGTTTGCTACACCTCAATCAAAGAAATGGATCACTGTATAAAAATAACCAGATGACTAGAGGGTACTCTAAGAGTTCCTCCCCTCTTTACAATCAATCATGATTGCCATGAAATAGATCAGTTCAGAATGCATTTTGGTTGACTTAGTACAACCCTAAAAGTAAGTATGAGGTTATCAGAGCAACTGCGAAAAGCCTACACTCCTTGATTCCCCACCCTGCATCCCTAACCCTTGGAGAGCTACTCAGGTGAATAATGCAGTGAGTCTCAAGAATTCAAAAATTCCTTAAGCCTGTCTGTTAAGAGGACTCCCAGATTTTTCTTACAGTGATGAAGTCTCCCTTGAGCCAGCTGTCATTTTTCAGAGCTTCATAAACTCCGACATCCTTTCCTTGCAGTTTCACCTTGGCATGGTTGACGTCTGGATACTGAGTCGAGGAATGGTTTCCCCAAATAATGACATTCTTCACATCATTAGAAGTTACACCGAGTTTAAGAGCAATCTAGTTAAAAACAAAATAAACAGATTACTTAAGACAATCATCTTTTATTTAAATTGTGATCTGTGTGACAAATGCCTTTAAGATAAAAGCTCTGGAAACTTCAAGAGAACTCAATACTAATACTAACTTTTTAAATGTAGATTTCACTGTTTGGCAATTTCTTGAAACAGTTTAACAGTAAAACAAATCTGTGAACTTGAAACAGGGTATAATATTGAAATAGAATGTATGACGACAAGAGAGCACCCTACAATTTGTGATTAACTTATTGTACAATGGATTCATCAAATATAAAACAATAAGTAAGAAGTCAATATTGCTCAGACATTTTTTCCCCCAGTTCAATCTTTTTTTATATTATTTTTTTATTTAAATTTTATTTTTTATATTCCCCATACAATTACAACCCCCTTATTTTGACCCCGAGCCCTCCTTAATCCGGCCCCCCCCCCCGCCTCACCCATAGAGTGTCTCTGGTTCATAGTTGTTTGTTGATTTTGATATTTTCTTTCCTATAGTTATTCTTTTTCCTGGTCCCTTATTTAAGTTTTCTAGATTCCTGCTATGAGTGAGACCATCCGGTATTTTTCTTTTTCTTTCTGGCTTATTTCGCTGAGCATGATCCCTTCCAGAGCCATCCATGTTGCTGCAAATTGCATGTGTTTATCTTTTTTGAATGCTGAGTAATATTCTATGGTGTACATGTACCACATGTTTCTTGATCCAGTCATCTAATTTTGGACATTTGGGTTGTTTCCAAAGCTTAGCTATTGTAAACAGTGCTGCTATAAACACAGGGGTGCAATGCTCTTTGGAATTGATGCTTCTGTGTCCTTTGGGTAAATACCTAGGAGTGGAATTGCTGGATCATATGGAAGCTCTATGTTTCGTAGGTCCAGAAATCTCCACACAGCTCTCCATAGTGGTTGGACCAGTTTGCACTCCCACCAACAGTGCAGGAGAGTTCCTTTTTCTCCACACCCTCACCAACATTTGTTGTTGCTAGTTTTTTTTAATATGTGCCATTCTCGCTGGTGTTAGATGGTATCTCATTGTAGTTGTGATTTGCATTTCCCTGATTACAATGATGTTGAACAGTTTTTCATATGCCTGTTGGCCATTTGCATTTCCTCTTCAGAGAAGTTTCTTTTTAGCTCGTCTGCCCATTTTTTGACTGGATTATTTTCTTTGTTGTTGTTGAGTCTCATCAGCTCTTTGTAGATTTCTGTGATCAGTCCTTTATCATTAGTGTTGTGTGCAAAAATGTTCTCCCAGTCGGTGGGGTTTCTCTTTGGTTTTGTTATTGTCTCTTTTGCTGTGCAGAAGCTCTTTAATTTGATGTAGTCCCAGCTGTTTATCTGTGCCTTCACTATCACTGCTTTGGGTGATGTGTCTGTAAAGACGTCTTTGATGTGCATATCATGTAGTGTTTCGCCTATATTTCCTTCTATGTATTTTATGGTTTCAGGTCTTATGTCTAGTTCTTTAATCCATTTTGAGTTGGTTTTTGTGCATGGTGTGAGGTAGTAGTCAAGCTTCATTCTTTTGCATGTAGCGACCCAGTTTTCCCAGCACCATTTATTGAACAAACTTTCTTTGCTCCAATGCATATTCTTTGCTCCTTTGTCAAAGATTAGTTGACCATAAATCTGTGTGTTTATTTCTGGATTTTCTATTCGATTCCATTGGTCTGTGTGTCTGTTCTTGTTCCAATACCATGCAGTTTTGATGATTATGGCTTTGTAGTATAGTTTGAAGTCTGGGCGTGTGATGCCTCCATTCCATCCTTTTTTTTCAGGAGAGCTTTGGCTATTCAGGGTTTTTGGTGATTCCATATGAATTTCATCAATAATTGTTCTATTTCTTTGAAGAATGACATTGAAATTTTTATTGGAATAGCATTGAATCTGTATATTGCTTTTGGTAGGATGGCCATTTTAATAATGTTTAGTCTTCCAATCCATGTTGCTCAGACATTTAAATGTGACTTCTGTTTTGTTGTTAACACTTATTTGGAGATCTCTCAGCACTCTGCACAATCAGGTATCTGGGTACCTTCTCCATTTTTTAGGTGAAATTTTTATTATATACCATACACAAATTATATTTCAAAAATCCTAAATAGGAAGTTTTGGAGTCTCAAGGGACTCATCTTACAAAAGATGAGTCTTACCAAGGGACTCATCCTATGACTATCCTGATTTTATAGATTAAAAAACTGAACAAGTGTTTACATATAACATGCATATAATACTAAAATTATTAACACATAACAATCTTAAAGTTCAGAAAGCACTTTAAGACCCTGCATGGTAAGAGCATCTATTACATTACATAGTACCATTATAGAACTATGTACTATAGTCACAGAAAGGGTGAGGAAGTTAAATATCAGAAGATTTCGATAAAATGAAATGAGTTTGCTTATTCTGTTATTTGCTTGATAAGATATATGTGCAGAAATGAAATTATGATCAGTGGTATTATTTATTCCTAATTAGACAATAGAACCTAAGATGTGCTAGAAGGAAATGTTACTGGAAAAAAAATGTTTAAAGCTGATGTGTAAGGGGACATACATATATCTATAAAATTTTATATTTTACATCCAAAGGGCAGGTTTATTATAAAAAGGGAGAGAAGAATAAAGGACACCTGCATAGGCATGAGTGGTCAGAAAGAGCTGCCCCTGAAAAGGAGGTTTGTGAAGAGAAACACCTGCATAGTCACAGGCAGGCAGAAAGGCTGTTCGGGGGGACATTAGAGATCAAGTTTTTCTTTTATGCTGTTATAAGAATTGGAAAAAAAAAAAGTGTTGTGGCCGAGTCTATGGCTTTTGCATAAATAAATAAAAGCAGTACTGCATCAAAGTTCTATCTGAGCATTCATCATCTAACAAAGGAATTATACTGATACTTTATTTTTTTTTTAAGATTTATTTATTTATACAAGAACCGGGGTACGGGCCAGATGCGTGGGAGGGTGAGAGGATTCACCAGAGACAGTGTGGGGAACAGAACAGGCAGACTGACGAAATACACTGCTGAGGGGAGCAGCAGGCGAGATAGAAGAGGTCTGCTGCGCCATGTGGGACCCTCGCTGGCTGGCTGGGATTGAACAGGTGCCGCAGAGGCTGCGGACAGCTTCACAGCGCGGCGCTCAACCACCTGCGCCACCATGGGAGGCCCTACTGATATTTTAAAGGAATTTAAAAAATAAGGATAGTAATAGCCCTAAGCTAGAAAAAGTCCTTCAAAAATGGTTAAACAAATTGTTATATACACACAATGGAGTAAGTGGAAAAACATTAAAAAGGAATGAACTACTGATAACACAACAACTTAGGTGTATATGAAAGGTGTTAAACTGGTGAAAAAAAATTCAATCTCAACAAGCTACTTACCATGTAATTCCATATTTATAACATTCTCAAAATAAAAAAATTAGAGATGGAAAACAGCTAAGTGTCAGGGTTCAGGAATGGAAAGGAAGAGTGTGACTATAAGAGGCAGCATGAAGGAGTTGTTCTGTAGGTGATGGGACAATTCTGTGTTTTGACTATGGGGCTTACAGGAATTTATATTATGTGATTAAATGTCATGGACTCATTCACGAAAACATACAGAGAAATGGCTTCACCACCTTCACACTAATTTATTTAGTGAAGAAGCGAATTATCTTTACTTTCAATATGACTTTTAAACTAAGTTGATACGTATTTCATAAATTCCAAAATAGTTACATTTTAAAAATTTACTTCAAAATCTCTGTTTTTGATATTTAAAATCACTTCTGATATAATTTTGGGCTTCATCTAGAGTATTAGGACTGTTAACTACCATATCAGTCTTCACAAAATTAGCTGGATGGTTGGTTTCTGGGGGCAACTCAACTATTAATAGGCTTAGTGGTTAGAGCAAATGGTATTAGCACATTGAGAACCATTTTCTATTGTGTCATGACCTGAAAGGACTTGGGAAGAATTACCCTTACTTAAATTTAGCTGGCATCACAAAGAAAAAGGAACCTGGGGCAAGTAACCCAAGGTGTATATTGCCAAGAACTCAGAATCCAAGCTCCAAAGTACAGAGAACACATACTGCCTCTAGGCCTCTCCTCCCCACAGGACTCCTTGGCTCTCCCATTTCCTTTGTCCCTGTTGTCTACTTCCTACCCACTCTCTGATCAGAGTGCTAACCCACTTTTATATGAAGGGCAAAGGCCACATAATTTGTACCCAGGAGATATTAGTTTCTGAATTAGTCATGTTGGATTAATTCATTAGTCTAAATTAACATGTATCGGTATAACAGTTATTTGCTCCCTTAAGATACTTCCATTTCTGTCACACAGATCTGTTAAACTGTTTTTGACAAATTCTGCAGCCCTCCTAATTTTCTTTCTTCTGACACCAGTTAACTGGTTCCATTGCCAGTTCACTTTTGCCAGCAGACACACATGCACAGCACTTCTGTGCAAATACACACAGGAGTTCTGCAGGTGACAGTGACAAGGTAGCTAAGTCCTTTGAGTTCCAAAACAAATTAGGAAAGACGAATAACCATTACGTAAAAAAATTAATCTTTGGTTTTGTTGTTTTTCTCACTGGATTAACAACTTCTATAGGAGGAAGAAACTGTTTCTTTAGAAACTTCCTAAAAGCTCACACTGTGCCAGATTGGCTTGCTGGAACACAAGCCAAAAGTTAAAGTTTGACAAGATAGCTTCTCATCTTTCCTCATTCAGACTTTAGCCCCTATACGAGGAAAACTGTTTCAGGCACGGGGACAAAGTGTCACTTAGCAGTACCTCTGGAAGCAGAATTTTCCAAAGTCTGCCTCTACAAGGCCTTGGGAGATGGTGAAGAGGAAGGTTTGCTAGTGTCATTTTACCCTTTGTTCCCTGTTGCAACTAAGTAACTAACCACTTGCTAGTCAGGAGTTCAGAACTGTAACACCTATAACTTTTCCTTTATCAGTTCCGTAGTGCCCAAATCTCCTGGCCCTAGTCATTCAATCTTCTATGCCTTTCTAGTCATTAGACTCTAGTTAAACAATCAAGGAAAAAATGCCAAACCACAGCCCAAAGCCTCTCAGAGAACATTAAGGGAGATGTTTAGTAATTTCTCAACTCTAGTCCATAATCCCCTTACTACTTTTTAAAAATTCAGTAATAATAATAGCAGTTAACCTTTTTTATAGTTTTACTACATTTCCAGCACATGACAATGACTTAACATAGATCTTATCTCATTTAATCCATACAATTATCCTTTGAGGTCGATACAATTATTACCTCACTGTAGCTTGAATAGACTTTCTCAAGGTCACAGAGCTAGTATATAGATTTAGCTCACTTGCATTCATTATGTTAAGAATACACACAGGGTTTGCAGTTAGGTAAATCTAGGTGGTGCCATCATTTACTAGCTATATGAGTGAGCAAGTTTCCTGACTGTAGGGTAAGGTAAAATGTATCAGGCTTTTCTGCCCTCCCACCATCAGCATAGATGATGGATCCTCGCGGTCCTGAATGCATGCCTGATGGCGGGCACCTGGAGTAGGGTGTGGGCATAGGTAGATGAGATCCACCTGGGCTAAGACTGTGCTTTTTAAGGGGGGCGTCATGGGGACGCCAGTAGAAGCCGAGAAGAGCAGCCGAAGAGCCGAAAGAGAAGCCAAAAGAGAAGCTGAGAGAGAAGCCAAGAACGAACACAAGCACAGAACACCGGAGAGTCCACATAGAGTGAAGACTTGCTGGGGGCTGGGAGGCCTGCTAGCCTCCCGGCCCCCCAGCACCCTTGCCTGCTGTGTACCCGGTAAATTCCAATAAAAGACCTGCATAAAACCACTGAGGACTCTGACTCCTCCTTTACCCGGTCTGCTGGATCATAGAAAACCTGCACCGTGTCCATTCCTGCCTCTACACTGACCTTTTTGGGTTTTAGGTTCCTTACCTGTCAAAGAGAATAATAATAACTCCTATGCTTAATATAAGATTTACATGACAAATTACATGTAAAGCAATCAGTTTAGAGTGAGAACTCTACACATGTTAATTATTTTCTGCTTTATTGGGCAACTCTAAGTGGAAAATTACCAATCTTAGTTTAAGTCAGAGATGCCAACTTAGACCTCACACTGTATTTTGATAAAACAACAATTTTCTTGAAACTAAACAAACTGTCTTCTCTAGAAGAAAAAGGAATAAAATTCATAGATCTATCTATCTATCCATAATGAACTATGACTATGACTAGAAAAGTGCTTTAAAGGTAAGAAAACTAGACCTTTGTTGTGCTCTAGCATGGGCAGCATGACACCTGCATCTGAGAAAGCCCAGAAGACAAGGACAGGTGAGCGGCAGTCCCTGAGTCACTGACCCCTGGATGTATTTATTTAAGGCTCCAAAGGGAAGGAAAACTTGACAACAAATAAAATTTAGCTGCTAAGTAGTGCAAAGCGGGAAGTTTTTGGGAAAAGTAGATTATTAAAAAGTTACAAAATTAAACATGAAATTAAAAATATGAATTTGATAGTTATACAGAAAAAGAAGCAGAACAGAAACTCGTAAAGCTCAGTTTTTTTAATATCTGACAAAAATAAACTAAATTATATACTATCATGAATTAGCAATATAAGCAATCAATTTTAAGCACTGTAGTAAGAGGACATTAGCAACTCCATTTAATTATACTTAGCAAATAAAATACAGTTGAAGGGAGTTAAGCAGGCGGTTCAGTCTCTGGTCCTTAGAGATTAGATTAAAAGATTTCCCAACAAACTGAACAGTTTCCTACTAAACAAAAACAAAAGTACAAACTAAGATTCCACTTCTTTAAAAGTGACAGAAAAGGTATTAAAGTTGAAGACTCAACAGATTTTAAAAGGCATTTCCCTTACCTGAGCTTTAGCTCGGTTGTGATCCAAACGAGTCAAGCAGCTGAAGTTCTCCTTGGGGATGGATGGCGCTGATTTGGAGGCAGTCAGGCAGTTGGTATTGGCTGGGTTTCCTACCACGACAACCTAGGATGTAAGGCCAGGCACAGCAGTTACAGGCCATATACTGATTAACTAAACTATTTGAGATGAGTGACAAGAATGTAACATGTAGCTTTTCTATCAAGCTTATATGAGCTGAATAGTTATAGTCATGAGGCTCTTAGCTGTCGGGGTAGGTGTTGAGAAATGCTGGGGTGGGTAGGTGATTTCCTTGTGGGGGATACAGCGTAATTATAAGCCTAGCTGGTATAGCCTATGATGCACCTAGGGGGCATGCTACAGCCTGCTGGGACCATTGTTGTGGATGTGGCTCCTTACTGACAGAAACATCACTAGGTGATACCTGGCTATATAGTTACCAAGTAGTTTCTATCTTCGCTTCTAAAAATATTTTTTCCTTGTTAGTGTTTGGCATGACTACTGAAAATATTTCTTTAATAAAGCCACCATTATGTAAATAGGTCACTTTCCAGGTGGCAGTGTCCAAGACCTAAAATACATAATTTGCATTATGGTTTGGGTTTTTTATTTTGGGGGGGGGTGGGGGGAGTGGTGGTGAGGGGTAAGGCCAAACAGAGACAGAGCATTTATCTACTGTATCACAGTTTGAGTCATTCATACAATTTTCTTTCTTATAAAAGTAGTCTAACAAAACAATTCTAATCGAGCAGTTTATTTAGGACAATAATTTGTGTTTCCCAGTCTTGCCTAATTCTAAGAATTAACTGGGATATTTGCTAAAATAAAGATAACCCATGGTCCCACCCACTCTGTAGCTATTAAATCAATCTTTAGAAGAGAGCATGTCACGCTACTTTTTTTAATGGAGGAAATATGGGAGACACTAAATTATAATAAAGTATAGGAAAATGCACACATGGAGTTTTCAAGTTTTAAAAATCTTTAATAAAATGATAATTTTAAGAAATCTTATTGGGAAATAGTATCAAACTTATAGAAAAGCTGCAAGCATATTACAAAGACTAACTCTACATTTCCTTAACTCCACATTTCCTTTACTCAGATTCTCTCATTTCTACCATCTCCCCCCTCCTCTCTCTTGTGTATGTGTGTGTCTCTCTCTCTCCTTAGTGATTTTTTGGACCCATTTTAAAGCCAGCTAAAGATATAATACTTAAGTGTTCCAGCATCAGTACATACTTCACAAGAACACTTTTGGATGAGGAGTGTTACTTCAAGGAGCCTCTATTTTAGCAGTCCAAAGAGCCTTGTAATATTTTGTTAAGAAACTTGTAGATTTCTTTTTTTTTTTTAAATTTTTTTTTTTTTTAATAGAGGCATGCTTTATTTATTTATTTATTTATTTGTTCGTTCGTTTTTGTTTATACATGCACTGGGTACAGTCAGAAGCACGGGAGGGCGAGAGAATTCACCAGAGCCAGAGCGGGGAGCAGAACAGGCAGAAGGACCAAAGTACACTGCTGAGGGGAGCAGCAGGCGGCAGGAGAGGTCTGCGCGCCATGTGGGACCCTCCTCTGGTGGCCTGGGAGCAGCCGGGGATCGAACCGGCGCTGCAGAGGCCGCGGGCAGCTTCGCAACCCAGCGCTCAACCGCTGTGCCACCGGGGAGGCCCCGAAACTTGTAGATTTCAACTCAGGTCCATTCTATTATTTTTGTTAATGATAACAGGAAATAAAAGTTAACTATTTAGGAATACACAAAAAGCAAGTGACAAAGTAGAATACTGTAATTGGCAACCTTAAAAATTTTATAAAATTCTCTCTTACCTTTTTTTAAGTTAGGATAGAGGAAGAAGTGTATCAAAATTAGTAAAGCCTTTAACCAGCAAGGCTTTTTGTTGTGACAAAAAGGCTTTACTGTAATATTCACACAAAGGCTTTACTGTAATATTCACACAAATGTAGAAACTAAATAGCTTGAACACAAACAGAATAGAAAGTCATACCGGCTCAACTACTCAAGAGCTAAGCATAACATAATTTGTCTGGATTGAGAAAATCTAAGCATTCAGAAGCCACCATCTCCTACTGCTGAGAATGCAGTTCATAGCTATTTCTCTCCAAAATCACACAATAAGATTCCAATGTTTGAATAAATATTCCCACACAGTTAAGAAGAACCAGAAAGTTCTATGTTTTCTCTAAAGGCTTGCAAACTAATTAAAATTTTAGGATATATTAACAGGTAAAACATATTTCAGTAAATCTGATTATATATATCTACACTAAGAAACAGAGCTCATGGAACAAATTTGGTATTTACTGACCACTGTATAGAACTAGAGGAAAAAAAAAAATAAGGCAAAGCAATTGCAAAGCAATTTGTTTTCACTTAAATGTTGAATGCAGGAGTTTCAAATGATGATAATGAAAACCCCCATAAAATACTGTTTTAGTCACCTTAACTGACTTCTTGGCATATTTATCCAGTGCTGCACCCTGGCACTTGAAGATTTTCACATTTGCTTTGAGTAAATCTTTCCTTTCCATGCCATCCCTTCTTGGCATGGAGCCCACAAGAATGGCCACATCCAGGTCTTTGAAGGCAACCTCTTCCTTATCTGTTGCGATGACATCTGTGAAAGTGGCAATAAATATGCAGAGCTACATAAACACCAAAGTCTGAGGTTTTCTTTTTTATGCTGTATTTACCATACAATTCACTTTGTAGAAAATATTTACTATTATATATCACACTGATAAAGTTTTTAGGGGCCTAAGAAAAGAAATACTACATTAATTTAATAACTATAACAACAATAGAAGTCAATAAATTAACTTTGCTTTACTCTATTTCAATAATTCTCTTAATTTCAAAAATTATTTAACTTTTATCTTTTATGATCACATATGAGTCAAGGTATACTGTATTTTTTTTTAAAGGTTTTTTTATTTATACAAGAAGCGGGGTACAGGCCAGATGCGCGGGAGGGTAAAAGGATTCACCAGAGACAGCAGGAACAGAACAGGCAGACTGATGAAATACATGGCTGAGGGGAGCAGCGGGCAAGACAGGAGAGGTCTGCTCGCTATGTGGGACCCTCGTGGGCCGGCCGGGATCAAACCAGTGCTGCAGAGGCTGTGGACAGCTTCACAGCGCTTTGCTCAACAGCCTGTGCCACCAAGGGAGGCCCATACTATACTCTTTGACGCTAAGTTTGCTGTTAATTGCCACAGATAACACAAGAGAAACTAATTCTCTTAGCCTTAAGTTACAATTACTTTAAGGTCTGCCATTACCAATCACAAATTAAAAAATAATGTTTATTGAGCAGTCCTGTGCCAGGGACAAAGCTAAGAGATTTATCAAATTTAATCATCACAGTTTCCAGATAAAGACACTAAAAATTTAAAGATATTAACTAGATGCCATCAAAAGGTTAAGTAAGGTTGTAATTCCAGCCCAGGTTGGTCCAGTGTTCAACCACTATGCTACAGTGTTAGTCCAATAAACACACATCACTTGTTTTTCATTAATTACACATATCATCACTTTTCTTTGCTGACAATATTAAAAATGTCATAACCAGTGCTATAAAACCCTCCCCGCCATTGGATGTAGATGGGGCAGCTAGCTGCAAGGTGATTAGGTCAAGGGTGGAGCCCCCATGAGTGAGATTAATGCCTTTATAAAAGAGATCTCAGAGGCCCTTCACACTTTATGTCACATGAGGACATAATAATGTCACCATCATCTATGAACCAGGAATTGGGCTCTCATTAGATACCTAATCTGTTGATCTGAATTCCCAGCCTCCAGAACTGTGAGAAATAAATTTCCAATGCTTACAAACCACTCAATCTATTTTTGTTACAGCAGCCCAAAGGGACTAACGGTAGCCAGGATGGTTTCAGTATCATCATTGGTAAATTTTAGACCCAGTGAAATTGTGTCAGTCATGCTGCTATGAGCCCCAAAATAGATATATAAAGGAATAGTTGGAAAAGAAAAACAAATTTTCCCAGTAAAGCAAATTTATCTTCCTTTTCCTGTCATATTCACAGTTGACCAAGACAAGCTGACTATAACTTGGGCCCATTAGAGAAAGCAGAGGGAAGTCAGGAGAGAGACAAGAGAAAAAAAGGGAAAAAGCAGCAGAGGAAGTGATTAGCAAAGAGTAATGGGTAAGAAAAGGGGGTCAGCAGAATAGACTGGCAAAGTAATGCATTCCATTACACAACCAAATGATTTAGATGGCAGAGTATCCTTGTACTAAATGTTTCTAGTAATGTAGTAAATACTCATTGAATAAATAAATGAATTCTAAAGATAGTTTCTCTTGAGAATGTATATTTTGCTTACAAGTATAGCTAAAGAAAAATATTCACATTATTTTACAACTTCACCTATTCTTTTTTTTTTTTTTTTTAAAGATTTATTTATTTATTTAAACAAGCACTGGGTACAGTCAGAAGCACAGGTGGGTGAGAGAATTCACCAGAGCCAGAGCGGGCAACAGAGCAGGCAGACTGACGAAATACATTGCTGAGGGCAGCAGCGGGCACAGCAGGAGAGGACTGTCACGCCATGTGGGACCCTGGCCAGCGGCCGGGGATTGAACCAGCGCTGCAGAGGCTGCGGGTGCTCAACGGCTGCGCCACCAGGGAAGGCCCATTGACCTATTCTTTTAATGATCCTTTAAGACTTTGTCTTATATCTTTGTAATTGAATGATTGCAAAGGTACTTAGCAGATATCTTGGTGGGCTTTTTCTAACCATGCACTATATAATTAGGACAATTTATACTGTGTCTCAACCTGCTAGCTGGCAGATGGGATACGACTATAGATGAAATACCGTCTTCCAAACTCACAGCAGCATAGGGCTTGAGGACAACATTTAGAACTGAGAAAGTTTTTTTTATTACAGAAAGCTACTATTATAAATTAAACAGATTCTAACTAACAACACAATACAATCTCAGGTATATTGCCCTTGTGGAATATTATAATTACTTAGTGAAATAAAATTGTATCTGACCATGCTGAAAAAAAGTATAGTCTTTTACCTTACACTGGTTCTTTCTCACTTTACCCTTATTTATTCTTATATGCATCTTTCTAAGTAGTTGTAATTCAGTACACAGAAACAAAAATAATTTTATGAAATAATTTCAACTGAGAAACTAATTAACAAAAAATCTAAAATCTATTCTTCAAAAACCATTAGTACTATAAGATCCCTTCTCAACCCACCTTTCAAGAGGGGAAGGGCACAGTCTTGCAGTTCCATTAGGACACCATCCAGGACACCCATCATGGGAGTGATATCCAACAACACAAGGATTATAGGCTATCAAATAGCAAGAACAACATCTGTCAGTATGTCATCTAGTCACAAAAAAGGCCTTTTGCATAGTTTTTGGTTATCTGGTGTACATATCCCACTAATTAGTCATAATTTAGAAGGGCAGACACCTAACAGCATGTCACTCTCAGAAAAAGGAAAGCCAGAGAGGATTTGCTAGCGACACAATAAGAGAAAACATCATTGGTGTATTTTAAAGGAGTTCATGGAAGAAATATCAAATTGAGGTGACATGGCAGTTCTTATTTTCAATAGATAACTGATTTTAGTTTATGGAAAAGTATAGTATCTGGCATGAAGAACTTAATAACCATGGGTAAAGAGAATGAATACTTTAGGAAAGTGTTTTAATAGACATTAATCAGACTTGCTGGAATGGGGGGGTAACTGCGTCACATTAGGAAGCAGATTTATAACTTAGCAACTTTCTCTGCCCCATGACTTTCCCTAATAGTTACTGTCACAAGTGAATACCTTCCACTACACCTACTGGCTGCACCAATTACAGTATGTAGAAAAGTTCTGATTTGCAAAGTGTTACCAATGCCTAGAGGGGTACTTTAATATTGTACCATACCAGTTTCCATTTATAGTAAAATGCCTAATACACTTATTAGTATAATCTAAGCCTTCACCATTTCAAAATTTCTTTGCAACCAATTACTGGGTTTTATTGACAATATTTTTACTTTGACATAAGATTTACAGACATTTGCTCATACCTGGTCTTTTCCAAAGACAGATCCATTTCCAATACTGTACAGCAATGAATATGCAATTTGACCAGCTGCTCCAGTCACAAGGACTCTGATTGGTTCAGACTGTAATGAAAGAGATCTTATTAAATAGTGCTATTTTACTTAAAAGATAATTAAGATTTTCTCTATAATAAGACAACCACATACTTTAAAAGTCAATGTAAAATTGTAAAGTTTCTTTGCATCTGGCTTTGTTTTCACATTTTTATGTAGTGTTATGTAACTTCCTGTTATACTGGATTCACTTATTTCATCTAATCCATCTTCTTAAGGATACTTTACCACCAAAATAGAACTTTGTTGATATGAGCTGTATGTTGATACAAACCCTGGTGGCCACTAGAACTTTACAAAATCACTTACACAAATCCCTCCATTCTCCTCTGGTTAATAAAATTCTTCTCACTAGGAGAAGGAGTAACAGTGGTTAAATTTTTTCATTTGCAATAAGCCAAAAAGTTTTAACAGGACAATCAATATTCAACTTAACTACCGGTAGGAGGAAAAATAAGTATTTTTTTAAGAAGAAAAATAAAATGACATCTGGAACAGGAACACGTAGTGACAGCTAAAAACCTGATTCCAAGGGAAAAATAATTTTAAAAGGGAGGAAAGGGGCAGAAATTAAAAAAAAAAAGCAAACCATAATAATTACTACAGAAATAGTTTTACAGATCTCAGTAGCCCTGAACAAAATATGGACATATGAACTAAAATAATAACTGATATTCCCAGGTATTTACCTGAGTTATTTTAAAAAGTTAACCTCAGAGAAGTTAAAAATGGAAATATTTCTGGTAAAGAGTTAAATAAAAATATTTGAAAACTTAAATTTAATTTGATGGAAAAATCCATCAGGGCAAATGGTTTCTTTCCCTGAAAATGCCAGGTAAATACACTTCTACTTTGTGTCATCTCTATCACTATCTTCAGGAGAGAAGCATCCCACTGAATTGATGGGGGACTGAAGCATTTCTTTATATTTAGAATTCCTTCTTTCACAGAAGAGTCAAGCCTCTGGAAAAGAAGAAAACAGGTGACTTGGAAGGAACATTATAACCTTCTAACCCTAACCTCTGAAGGTCAGTAGCACTGGGCAATTTGGTATCCATAGAACACAAAGGAAAAAAAAAATCTCAGAAGGAAATATCAATTGCTATAGGGAAATGAATCTAATCACAGCAGACAATGTATGTATTTCTTCTTCAGAGATATGACCACAATAGGCAAAAAAAAGAAAACAAGAGACCTCTAGGTCTCTTCCCCATCTTCACTAATTTTATTTTTTTATGGTTTTTATTTATTTATTTTTTAAATCTCTCATTTTTTATTTACTTATTTTTTTACATCATTGTTCATTTTTAAACAATATTTGCTTCCCCCACCCCCTCAGGTGTGGTCCCCATAGAGTTTCCTTCCCCAATGCACCTGGGCACCATCACTTCAGTCCCCTGTGCTCCTCCCTCCCTCCATCTGATTCCTCTCCCTCCTCCTCCTCTGCAGTACGTCTGATTCATAATTGTCCATTTTTGCTTTGTTGTGTTTTGTACTGTTATTATTTTTTTTACACTGATGTCTTATTTGGTTTTCCTATGTTCCTGCTATACACATCTTCACTAATTTTATATTAACATTGGTTTAGTTGGGGAATTATCATATTGTGTACATTTAGAGATATGGGAAAAGTTCCCAAATAGATTTTAGGTTTATGAAGAATACTAAAATTGCATTTGCTATCATATGGCATTTACATGTTTTAAATTCTATCATTTTTCCCTTCTTTGAAGTCAAACAGAGTATAAGAGATAAAAGGGAATAGAGGAAGAAATTATTCCCCCTCCCTCTCTAGAATGCAAGCTTCTTAAAATCCAGGAACTTTTATTCACTGTTCTAGTCCATCTGCCTAGAACAATGCCTTACATGTCATTGGATCTCAAATATTTGCTGAAGGAATTGCTGGATGTTGTAAAAATTACTACCAAAGACTTGGAACCACGAAAGAATTGTTGGAAGCAAAATTAGCAAGCCTTATACTTGCTTTGAGAACACTAAGAAACAATGACCACTGTAGTTAAAGCTCGAAAATTATATGATATTAGCTCTGATAGTCTAAATCAACTATTATTTCATTTATTAAAACAATATATCACTGAACTTCAAATATCTAACTGGTACAATTTCAGGTCAGAGAATTCATTATCAAACCATATACAGGAAATCAGACAAGACAATTTTCTAAACAGGGGTCTAGAGAGGCAGTAGAGTATAGTAAAGAGCTGGCTTCCAGAACAAGACTTTCTGTGTTCAAGTCCTGGCTCTCCACCTCATTAGCTGTATGCTCTTGGGCAAGTTACTTAATCGCCTCTCAGTACTGCTTCTCCACAGTAAAATGGACATATTAATAGCAGTTACCTAACAAATAAGGTAATTAGTTATGAGGCTTGAGAGACTTAATACACAAGCATTGAGAAGAGTATGTAGCAAGTACTATAATTACAGGTCTCTGTCACCACACAGTTTTCCTCTGAGGATTCTTATGGCTAGCGGTTTTATATTTACATGTCTGTTACTCTACTAGACAGTGAGCATAGTTGGACTCTGACTCAAACTTGCCCTCCCATACAGCATTCAACAAATAAATATTGTTGAATGAATGAAAGGGTTAAGAAAAATGTAAAGCATGTTGGGTTAAGAAGTGAGGGAGAAAGTGAATATCACTATCTATAAAATTGAACTTCCCAGGTCAGGTAGATAGAACAGAATAATGCAGTCAATTTTAAGTGTTAATTTTAGCTATTAAAAATGTGTTCATAGTATCAGTTCTAAGAAAAGGGGTTGTGGCAAACTAATGAACAGCTACTATTTCCACATCAGCAGTTTCTTTCTTCTGTGTCTTTGAGCAAATTATTTTTACAGGTAAGTAATCCTATCTTTTAGTATGAAGCCTAGTTAGAGACTGAATGTTTGAAGATAAAACAGGAAAGAGAGAGCCAGTCTAGTTCTTTCTGCTCGTTATACCATTGCAGTGAAAAGCAGGAGGGTGGGAGATTCCAGCTGACTTTCCACAATGTTACAGTGTGAATACAGGTTACTATTCTTTGCTTAGACATCCGGGCAGCAGGCCAAGATCCAAAGGCATGTCTTTGCTCTTGGCAGGGCACTAATGACCTTCCTGCAGATGCAGGCTGTCATGCGCATTTGTTATAAAGCTTGAATTTAGGTGTTTCTTGTTACTCTACAGAAAGACCACATATTCCTTTTTAACGTTCATATATATATGTATGTATGTATGTATATTTCCATAATATAAAAGACAAACTGTATCATTCATGTTCTTTCTTACAGTTTATTTTTGCTGTGACTATGGATACTCCCTCTTTTAAAAAATTGCTTTAATTGCTTACAAAAAATAGGTCTTGTCTAACTCAGTGAATACCCACACACTGTCCCTAGGAAGCAGGGAGATTGAATCATGTGAGAATATGCTGAGTTTCTGCAAACTGACAAGAGGATTCTTACTCGTAGTCTGCATTATCTGTTGTTAGCTTGACCTTCCAAAGATGAGGCCTCGTTTGATATATTGTATATAGCAAGACAATACAAGAATGGGAGTCCAGGATTTTTCTGTGACCTTGGAAAAATCATTTGGACTTCTCCAGGCAATGTTTTAAGATTAGAGGAAATTCTCTTACAACTGTAAGATTCCATTATTCCATATTGCAAGGAATAAAGTTATCAGGTAATATTAATTTCTTTCTGATCTTTTGAGTCTCTTAACCTCTTATTTCCTGTGTATGGTTTACTAGTAGATTCTCTGGCCTAAAATAGTACTACCTACATAATAGACTTTGATGATGCATTGTTTGATTTATAATAGTTCATCAGCTGATTTAGAAGACTATCAGTAGAAACTAATGTCATAAACAGTTTTTTCTAGCTGGAACTACTATGGCTCTTAGTTTGCAGAATGAGCTTGTATTTTCACCCAGAACCTCAGCTACTAAAATAAAATTTCAGAATGACTTGTTAAGTGTCTGTATGACACAATATAGTCAAATGGAAAGATTGTAAGCCCTTAGGGGGCAAAGTGTTGTGTGACCTTGAGCACATCACAACCTCTTTGGGTTTTAATAAATTCAATTTTAAGATTTGATGTGAGGAGATCTGTCAAGATCATCTTTAAAAGGTCCCAGCCAGTTCTAAAATGATAAAGTCTGAGGTTCTCTGATAATATGTACTGCTGTTTTCTTGCTAAAATTATTAGGTCAGAAGCCACTTGAAACCATCATTTAAATGTCTAATTATATCAGACAAAATGAGTAGGAAACCTAGGTTTAACACTTACAAGGAATTAGTTAGTTGACCCCGTTAACCGCCTTATGAAGGTCGAAAGAGTAATCCCCTTGTCTTGAAAACATGTCTTTTCAGGTTCTGGAAAATCTCCAAGTCATCCCACACTCCTACCCAATTTTAGGGTTTGCGATAACAAGAAAGAGTCTCAACTATAAATCCATGCACTGAAACAATTCTTTTCAGGCTGATGTCAAATGTCACCTTCAAACTGCATGCAGATTATACCTACGTCAGAGTTCTCTCACCACCCCCCTTTTTCTCCCTTTCCACTGAGACAGATATGGAGATCTAGGTATCAGATCTTCTATGAGAAGACGGTTATATCATATAAAAAGTAAAAGTGGTGTTTCTAAAATTTATAACATATTCGTCAGTAAAGAACATCTGCAGTAGTTATTTGGCTAATGATGCTGTCGCTGAAACACCTGCTGTCATTACAAAAGGAGTTCAATGACGGGTTTTAAATAACATTTTGTGAAACAGATATGGCGGAAACAGATCTTCTAAAAACGTAGATCGTAATCTGGAGTACCTGGTAAGCACTACCTTTAGAGTTGAGGCTTCTGTTTTCAAGGGTTTGATGACACAAACCTTACAAACTTTGTGGACTGAAGAGGACAAAAAGATATTGGGATCCAACTCCCTCCCCCGCCCCGCCATATCAAATCTTATTTATAGTCCTTATCAACCCCCTTAACACGGTTTGGAGGAAATTCGCAGTCTCGTATCCCCGCTATTCGGGGCAGATACCGTGCCCCTCCAGAGATCGAGATCTCTTCAGAGTTCTAAAAGCCCCCCAGGGGGAAATCAATGCCTTCCCAATTACTGGGTCACTGCGACAGTCAACAGAAGATGAGTCGGGCCTTTTTAAAGGGCGCGAAGGACAGTGCCTACCACAGCCACTATGCCCCAGAAGTCGTTCAAGCGCAGGGACCCCCCACAGAAAGGCGCGAAGGCGGAGGTGGGCAGGTTCCGGGGGTCCACACTCACCATGATTGGGAATTGCGTAGACAATTTCAGCACCTGCAAAACCAGGATCGAGAGTCAGGTCACCTCTACGGCGGAACCGACTAGGGAGGGTGAGCGCTCTGAGTGAGAAAAGGTTCGTATTCCGACCGCGGGGCCCTCTGGGAAATGTAGTTTATGGTGCTCTGATTTGGTGCAGTCTTCTATGTATTTCCTTCAAGTACTGAACTACACTTCCCGAGATCAGAATTCTTCTACCACCCTTCTCCCTGCGCGCTTCTCCGACTGCAAAGTAGTCCCTGCCTGCGAGCCGCTGTGATTGGAGGACTGCGACCAGCGCATGATTTGAGCTCCGGAGAAAGGCCCTGACTGATGGCGCCCTGCAATTGGCGGGACGGGAGGCGTGTATAAATCGAGGGTGGAGAGTCAGCCCCCTTAGCTACATCCCCCACAGAGACTTTATCCTCCCACAAGGGTAAACGTGGGAGGTTAAGAGACCTTCCGCTGCGTAAAGCCAGCTCGACCCGGAAACAAAATCTGTTTTAAAACTAGTTACACTCTGGAGGGGCGGAAGAAACTGCTGTCTGGAAGACCGGACGGCTTCTCAGGTTGCTAGGCGACGAGGCGGGCGCGCGCTGCACACCCGGGCAGCTCGCGAGTACCTGGCGATCTGTGACTGCGGCTGCGGCTGCCTTGCGGTGAGGACCCGGCGAGCTCGGCGAGCCCTCCGCAGTCCTTCTTCCTTAGCCAGGGGATCCCCCGTCCTGCGTAGTGTCCGTGACGGGGGGAGGGATTCGCCGGGACGCCCCCTCTGAAGCAGCTGGCCTCGGTGCGTCTTCCCCAGTCCGGAGGCAGGTGAGTCCTGCCTGGTCTTAGCGCAAGTGGTTTTTTTTTTTTTTTTTAAACTTTTGGGTCCGGAAAGCGGTTGTGCGCAGTCCCGCATTGCCTTGATCTAACCGGGTTCTGATCGTGGGCCGATGCCCGCGAAGTCGCGGGTCAGTGTTGGGTGCAGTGTTAGGTCAACAGTGTTTTGGAGGTCGTAGTGTCCTGAAGTTCGCGTCCTCTCCCCACTGTAAGATGAGGCTCTTAAAGCAAAGTTAAATTTAAAAAATATTAAGTGTCTGCTTTATGGGAGGCGTGCCCCTTCCTTCCTGGAGCTTGCTGTCACGGATCTAGCTTTTTTTTCTAAATACTCTGTGAATGTTGACACTTTTGCCCATTGTCTTTTGGAAATTGGATGCTCTTATACCATGCTGACTTTTAAAATTTGTCAGTCTGTATTTTTTTTTAATATCCAAAAGGGGAGGTTTGTTATATAAGAAAAAGGAAAGAATGTATGCATTTTCATCTTGGTTATAGTCCCCATACAATTCCCACCCTCGCCCCCTTGTTTCGATTCTACTCCCTCCTCCCCACCCCGTAGTGTGTCTCTGGTTTATAGTTGCTTGTTGATTTTGATTTTTACTTTATCATTATTAGTCTTTTTCCTGTCCCTTTAGGTTTTCTAAATTCTTGTTTGTGCAAAAATGAAAAATGATGTAAAGATACATAAAATTTTAAAAATAATAATTAAAAATAAAAAAATACAGTTAAAAAAAGAAAAAGCAAAAGCTTGCACAGACACAGCGGCAGAAAGCTACCCCTGAAAGGCGCAGGTTTATGATGAGAAACACCTGCATAGACAGAGGCGGCCAGGGGAATTGCCAAGTCTGCATTTCTAAGGAAAGTGTAGCAACTTAATGGGAGATACACAGCTTCAAGCGGTTTCACCTGGCAAAACAATTGAAGAGATTTTCATTTAAGATTAATGCTGCCGGAAAATTGTGGTCTATGAAATCATGTTTGGTGTGGGTATTAAAAGGAAGATGTGATGTTCTGGGATAGTATATATGTAATGAAAATGAATGAAATGCATATATTAGACAGCATTGGTGTAATTTCTCTCCCCCACCCCCATAGCTGTTAAGTGAGTGCCAGGTGGTGTCTTTTCTGTGTTTATTTCAGTTTTGGAGGATTTGCTATTGTGAGAAAGAAATACATCTTACTTTCCAACTTCATCTATCTGTAACATTTATCATAGCTGAATAACTTTATCCTGCTTGAATCACTTTATTCATTTGGTTCTCAGATAGAATACTTTGATTTTCCTCTTGTCGCTGTTATAGGGCAGCCCGGATATTGAATGGGTTGCCTGACTGTGGGTCCTCACCTGTGTGCTTACAAGGGACTTATTAATACTCCACTACAGGCATACACAAAAGGTTAATAAAAGGTTTATTTATAAGGGAAAGGGAAATAAGGAAAATGTACAACTCAGGGAGAAAATAGGGAAATAAAGTCTTTAATGCGTCCTGCCCGATCCGCTGACCTGGAAACCCAAAGGCACTCTCAGAGCTGGCTGGACGCTGCGAGCTGGTGGAGAGCCAAAATGGGGGAACCCCTCCAAAGCCCACGTGTCTGGCTTTATACCAACCTGGCTGCTTAACCCCACCCTCAGGTCCCAGCCACCTTCCCTTTGGTGGTGATGGGATTTGGAGTTCCCAGTGTCTTTGGCTTTGGCCTGGGGTGGGGGTGGAGTCCACAAAGCCTGTATGGAATTAGCTTTAGGACCTCCTTTTCCCCCTAACATCACTACTTAGTTGCCCTTTTCAGTGTTTCTTCAAATTGTTTTTTACCTCAGAACTCTGAACATTGGACTTTCTGTATTCTTCTTTTAGCCACACTCAATCCCTAAGTGATCTAACCTGGTAATTTCAAATGCCACCTCAATGTCAGAAAACTCCCAAATTTGTGTATAATTCTCAATTCCAGACTCTCATATCTGACTACTTGTTATTTCTTGTTGATTTTCTAATTATATCTTTTTTATTTTAGACTTTTTCTACTGCATATAGAATCACATGGATTAACATGACCTGGGATTTCCCCAGTTCTAAAATTGTGATTGTGGATGGGATTCTGAGATTTCAAATGGTAGAATAGTAAAGAGCTAGGCCTGGTTTAGATGAAGACAGGTGTAATAAATTGACCAGGTTTACTAAATTGCCTGTGTTCACCTTAGGGCAAGAGTTTTAGCAGGTGCACTGTTAGGCTTTGTGGATTCAGAAATTAGTGTGACACAGTTGTCTTTTTAGAGCACCCAGTATAGCAGGGAACACAGATGGGGAAACCCATGACTATATGTAATGACTAGTAATAGTAGGTAAAGACTAACTCTGGGTTGCTGTGACTCCACAATGGAGGTTCTACTTGAATGAGAAGTAAATGTTTCTGGCAGGCAGCTAAGGTAGACGGTAAAATCAAATTTGCAATGTTGCAGGTCATGTTTTTGGATGCAATAAGACAACATGAAAAGTTCCTGATTTTTTTTTTAATGAAGACTCTAGAACTTTATTAAGCTGCTAGTATATCTACTAGTCACATGTGACTGATTCAATTTGTTGGTTAAAATTAAATAAAATTAAAAATTCCGTTCTCAGTCATGCTAACTACATTTTAGTCCTCAGTGTGAAATGGAATCAAACATTTTCATCATCCCAGAAAGTACTATTGCTCAGCTGATAGCACTTGGCGAAGCAAGGCATCACTCAGAGCAGGAGCAGCTGCAGCTGCAATATCTTCGTATGCTATTTCTTTGCTATTGATTTCGCTATGGAGTGCATAGCTATCTGTGATACTGACTACATATGCAGAGTCTTGTCAGAGATAAGAAACCCAATTCTTGTTTTAACAATTTCCTCCCCCCCTCCTTGCAAGAATTCACATTAACATTCTTGGTGTGTCTGCGTAAAAGAATATTTACAAACATTGCATTGTCCTGGATCTTGAACTAGACTTAGCATCAGAAAGCTCACATCCTGGAGAAGAAGGAACTCTCCTACACTGCTGGTGGGAATGCAAACTGATCCAACCACTATGGAAAGCTGCGTGAAGTTTCCTTAAACTGCTAAAAATGGAGCCAACCATATGACCCAGCAATTCCACTCCTAGGAATCTACCCAAAAAATGAAAAAACATTAATTGAAAAAGATACCTGCACCCATATGTTTATTGCAGCACTATTTACAATAGGTAAGATATGGAAACAGTCTAAATGCACAGAAATAGATGACTGGATCAAGAAGATATGGTGTATACATACACAATGGAATAATATTCAGCAATCAAAAAAGATAAACTCATGCCATTCGCAGCAACATGGATGGAGCTGGAAGGAATTATGCTCAGTGAAATAAGTCAGAAGGAAAAAGAAAAACAGTGGATGGTTTTACTTATAGGAGGAATATAGGGGAACCAAATAAGGGATCAGGAAAATAATAATAATTAAAAAAACAAAATTATCAGGCAACTATAAATACGAGACATTCTGTAGGGGAGTAGAAGGGAGAGGGATCAAAACAGGAGGAAAGAGCACAAGAGAGTATGATGATGGTGCATTGGTGAATTGGTGGTGGAAATTCTATGGGAACTACACCTAGGAGAAAGCAAATATTGTACAAAAATGAACAATGATGTAAAATATATGTATAAATTTAAGAAAAAAAAGAAAGCCCACATCCTGAAGAGGGGTTGAGAAAGCAGAGCCTGAGTGACACTGAACAATATTTGTCTACTGCTCTCTACTTTTTCTGGAATATATGTCCATACCACATTTTAAGTAGCTGGAAGAGCCTCTACTGTACATGTAGAGGCTTGAAATAGAACAGCAGAATCAGAACCTACAAATAATGGGGCTTAGGAGAGAAAGAAGTCTAGTAGGGGTATGTTTATATTTTAATATGTGCAACAGGTCTGAATTCATATGCAATTTTTATGCATTTTAGTAATGTTTTACTTGGATATATTTGCTCCTTATACCCTGATCCCTATTTTGAGTTCTTCCTATTTAATGTCTAGCTGATTTTATAATTTATTTTTCAGTTTGAATTAAATAAACATGGTCTTTGTAAATCAGATTTTATAATTGTTTAAGGAAGGAGGAAAAAAGAGATATTAATGAAGAACAGCCTAAGAGGGTTTTGAATGTACTGGTGAAGAAAAGTCATTTTATTTGTTCAACTGTACTCATCACACAAATTACCTATTCCTTTCCAGAGAGAGTGCTCACTTAATTCATACACACACACCACCATGTATATAGATACATTTTGTGATAGTACAAAGAAAACCACGAGTAGTCATATAATAAATCAGTTGATGCTTTCTTACCTCTTACTAGAGAATATGAAAATCTGTTTTATGTTAATGTGAATATCTTTACATGTAAAAAAGCTGCTGTATTAGCACAAATATATCTACATTCTGTGTCCAAAGACAGATAAAATTATGCCTATTGTTTGAAAAAAATTAAGGCCTATAAAAAGACTGTGAAATGGAGCGACTTATGGCTCATAAGAAGTAGGAAAAAGTGGAAAGAACTAGACCTTAGATAGTAGAGGTAAGAATGGATTGCATTAGAGACAGGAGTGTAGAGGAGGAGAAAGCTGCGGAGTATAAGGAACTAATATATTGAAGTGTGAGTTAAGAAAAGTCTCACCCAACGCATTCATCCGCATTATATTTCATATACTTTAGCCAGCCTATTTGCTGTTACTCAAATATGTCCTTCAGCTTTCTGTCTGCATGTTGTATGTGTGCTGTTTTTCCTCAAAGGGAATCCCATCCTCTGTTTCTGCATGTTTAGATTTCACCAGACTCTTGAATTGAGTTGGCCTTTGTGAGGACTTTCCCCTCTCCTTTGTAATTCTTTAGTACAGGACATTTCAAACATACACAAATTGAGATTGCATGTTTTTTTTCAGTCCATTATCTACTTCAACAATTAACATTTTTCCAGTCTTTTCTCTTTCCCTTTT